TCTCTATAATACAAACTCCAATCTTATCTGAGGCTAAATCCTTATTTAATCTGAGCAAATTTAAAACGTTAAATGAGCTTGTTTTTTTTTAAATAATGGGGCGTTCTCATCATATCTTCAAACTAAAAATTTGAAAATTTATCAGCTTGGAAAATGATCGAAGATGCCAAGACTTCTGCATTTTTTATAACCTTCACCCATTTAAAATAAAACTATAAAAATGGCTACAAATTTAAATGGAAATATACCTGATTTTAAACTACCAGAGAACATATGGATACAAAATGAAATGCTAAATAGTCGAATAAGTTTTACAAAATGGATATTTAGTGATGTATGCAAAGATGAAAGCTCTAAGATCCGCTTAAACTCTATAAAAGCATTTCGTCCTACAATTGATCAATTAAAGTTTAATTTAACAACCTTAAGATTTTGGTGAAGAGATTATATCGAATATGCAATATTTGTGTCGTGCCATTATTTGTAAAATGCAAATTGATTATGTCTTTACTTGTAAAATGTAAATTGATTATATGATAATGGATTTTTTAGTATTCAAATTTTAATTGTTTAAAATTAGAATAAATAGTGATATTGTAAATGTTTAAAAAGGAGATCAAAAATGTAACAATCAATTTATTATTGACTTTTCACGTTTGTATTATATAAAATTAAACTAACGTTTTTAATTTTGTAATTACTGTTATTTTGTATAATATATTAAATTAATAGTTAAAATTCTTTAGATTCTTAGTTGGCAACCTATGTCATATTATTTCAATTTTGTATCGGAAGAATTTTGAAATAAATATCAATTTACTTCTGACCTTGAAGAAACAATTAAAAAAAGTATTCAGTGACAAATTACGACAATTCAATAATTAGGTAAATAAAAATATTGATGATATAATTTTTGATAGTGAGGAGTCTAATAAACATTGAAATATTACAAGATAATAGTAAATTCAACCAAGTAATCAATGCATAATATGTATCTATGAGATTCTAAACAGAGTTGGGCATGTTACTTAATAAAGGTTAAGGGTTACCATTCATCGTCATTTCAAAAAAAAGCCTTCGGTTATGTTAACTTTATTTAGAACATGTAACAGTTAGAACAATGTTCTTCGTTACATAATTAGAAATAAGAATAAATGAAAATTTTATTGATTCATTTTTTATTTTATGGTTAATTTAATAAAAAATCAAAGATTATCAATTTATAGCATTCAAAATTTTTCAAAAAAATTTTTATTATAAATATGAAATACAATATGAAATACTTGTAAAAGACCTATGTTAATGTTTCTACATTTTTTAGTTATATAAAAAATTAATTATACACTAATTTAATTAGTATTAAAATCTCTATTTATTACCACGTCTATTTAATGATAATATTATAAATTAATATCTTAATTATCATTTTACTATATTTTCTTAAGCTTGTTCATCATTTTATTTCACAAAATGTTGTTTTGCAAGAGCTTTTCATTTTAATATGAATATGTGAATGTGCGAATTGTGGCCAATCAATACATGGCTAGTCAATCCTCACCTCTCTATTATTAAGCGCCTTTATATGTCTATTAAATAAAGCTTTTAAAGTCTAATTCTTTGTGTGAATAATGCTAAATGCCTAAGGATAATATTTATATATAATATCAGTAATCTAAAGTTATTTTTTCACCAAACAAAAAAATGTGTAAAGTGATTTTTCCAGAAAGAGGTACTAAAAACAGTTTATTTGAAATATTTTTTTATTGAATTGCTCTATTCAATAAATGAACTTAGGTAAGGTACATACCATAAATATACACATTTTGACCAATTTTGAGAAATTGGTCCAACAGATAAAAAGTAAAAGGGTAGTGGCCAGTCTTCACACATGGCCATTTATGGCACATTTCCCTTATATAATAAGTCTTATACTCGATATAATATAATGTATTGTATGTAGATTCTATAGAATAAATAGTAATTATATATGTATAATTAATATTATTTTATATGTGAATATATATTTTATATGTGAATATATATTTTATATGTGAATATATATTTTATATGTGAATATATATTTTATATGTGAATATATATTTTATATGTGTAATATAATCCGTTTATATAGCCGAGAAAAAAAACAGTGAAATATTCCAAATTCACAAATTATATTTTTTTTGCCGATCGTTATCTCTTCCCTATGCCAATCGGAACTTTAAAATTCTTAAAAAATATAGGCGATAAGATAAGCCCTTACATCAGAACCTAAAGAATACTATTTTCTAAAACAAAATCTACAAATAACTATTTTAAAATATAACTATTCATGTTTTTTGGAAACTTGTAGTCCCACCTCCGTTTATATAAAATAATGTTTTATTTTATTTTATATTTGATATGTTAATATATATTATTATTTTGAAATAAAAAGACATGCGATTTATATGTTCAATATGATTTTATACTTGCAATTCTTAAAATAAAATATGGGATTCTCATTTCATGCTAAATAAAAATGTGATAACTCTAATATTGTGTTTAACCCATTTTTGTCCAAAAATATATGAAATAAAAAAAACATGTATATAAAATGAACAAGCCATTAAAGGGGTCCCGGCCGAGTAAAACGTGCCGAAGGCCTGCAAATGGGCATAGGGGGTGAAGTCCCCATAACAAACGCTAGAAACACTTGCCCACGAGGGTTTAGCATCGCTATTCCGCCCCTGGGTATGGGGGCGAAGTCCTCATAAATGAGTACACTTGAAAAAATCGCCCACGAGGCCGCCGCATCGCCAGCCGCCCCTGGGACAAGTGGGATAAATGTCATGTTTGCTAACTGGCCAGGCCACCATCTTTAGCATCTAGTGAACCAATTTCTCTCATTTTTTGTTAAAATGTGAAGTATTGAAATAAGTATTTAGCAATTCATCCAGTTAATAATTTATAAAAGATTATCATTAAATAATATTAATTATTTATTGTAATTTTTAATTTATAATATTATCTCGGTGAATAATATCTTATGGCCAGTTGAAACATACTATGTTTGGACTGAGTTAGATAATCAACTTTCACATAAACTCATCTAGCTCACAAACTATAATAGATACAACTTTGATTCAAATTTTATTTTAGAGATTTAGGATTGGGCTACACATTGATACTATGTTTTCTCAAGCTGAATTTATTAATCTTTTTGATGATAAAAATTTTTGCCACATTTTACAGAGAAATTTCTGTGTTAATTTTTTTATCGATATAAAAATATTTTGCGAATTTAGGAAAGGAAATTCTATATTATCATCATTTTCCAGGGAAATTACTCTATCTATTGTAGACATTTAAATTTTTTAAAAAACTACATTATTTTAAAATTAATACAATAAAACGATTATGATTTTAGAAATTAGTTATAAAATTTTTAATAATATGTGTATTTATTATAGAAAAATTAGCGAGCTACTGCTATTTTTTTTAATGTAGCGCGCGCCCTACTGAAAAAAGTTGCACGCTAGTTTAATAACACTGGTTTTTGAACTTGGAAAAGTATCATACATTTGTATTTTAATTATTTAAATTTTCTTTTATTAAAAGTATTTGAATTCAATTCATTTTGTTCGAAGTATTTCATTACAAAAACAAATCAGGCAAATTTTATATTAAGCGATGGAGGACATGGTAAATATAAATATTACTAGTGATGATGAAGAAACAGAAGAAATCATTAACTAAGAGTGGTCTCAACAAAGTTAGACAGAGGTGGGTACGAAGTTACTCTTGGTAAAATTTGCGTGGGGATACAAACCTTTGAAGGAATTTATGTATTTTAATTGAAATTTTTTTTTAAAATATTTATAGCCTATTTTTTAAAAATCTCAAAATAAAGCCAACAAATCTCTGATGATATGAAGTTTTAAACTTATTGTAAACAGATAATCTCTAAAAATGAGAGAATTTAATATCATTCAGCACACCCTAAAGGATGTGTATAATTATATAAATTTTTACACTCATCAATTTTGAATAATTTTTTTAAAAATGAGTTAGGATTTTAGTATAGTTATTTATAAAATATAACAACTCTGCCGTCAAGTGCGGGGGCAGAAAATATTTTTAGTTAGCTAAAAATGAACGAGGATGCCATGCTGGTAAAAATTTAGAGAATGTTCTTTTACTAAAATCTAACAATTATTATTTATAATCATTTCGTTATATTTTCCAATTCGTTATATTTTATGTATAGCACTTCAAAACAGTTTTAAAAAAATCTTCAAAAAATTTTTGAGCAAAAATCCTTTTTTCTTGAAAAACAGATATTTTTGAATAAATTTTACTTTATAAATAAATCTTTTGTAATTTTTATGCATAAAAAATTTTACAAGATGAAATCAAAAATTCAAATGAAAAATATATTCAAAGATTTTTGTTCAAACTTTTCGGATTTTTTTTAAACTGTTTTAAAATAAATTTTAACAATGGACTAAATTATGCATTATTCACTCCTTACATAATTGTAATAAATGTATCTTTGTGTTTATGTCGTTTTAAAGAACTTTTATTAAGCTACAAAATAAAATTTATTATTTCTCTAACATAATTATTTTTCGAAATATTTAAAAATAAATGAGGTGCATTTTGTCAAAAATGTATCATTTTTCCGCGCTTTAAACGGCCATATCTTAGCGGGTAAACAGTGTTAGAAGGTAAAATTTCATTTTTTTCTTGGTTATAGTATATACCACCAGTATACAAAATTTAAGAAAAATTGAAGGGGGATGGGTTAAAAATCGACTTTTTTTAGTTGATTTGATATGGAATTCACCATATATATGGAGAAGGGGGAGGGAGACTAGGCAGGATCTGATTATAAAGAATAAGAAATTTTTAATTGTTGATAAAAGAAACATGAGCAAAAAGAATATTTACATAAAAATATATTCAGGATCATTTTTATTATCATTTATCTATATAATTTAAATAAAATTCTATATAATTTAAATAAAATTCTATATAATTTAAATAAAATGCATATACCAAATATCAGAATTAAGTGTATCGATATCGTTATTTTATAAAATTATTTAGTTCGATGAAGTGATTTTTTTACAAAACAATTTGAGGCTCTCGAATAGATGTGGAGATAGCTTTGTGAGGTAAGATCTTACCCCCATTAACGTAAATTTCGTCTTTTATCTCAACGTTTTCGCCCAGTACAGAAACATTTTCAATTCTTACCTAGATGAAATAATTTGGATAAATTATTTTTTAAATTTTGAGATTAAAAAGTAAATTGCTAGGACTGACGATGCAATCTGGGTATGCTAAGGCTAGAATAGCGTTTAAAGTATTTATTTTTTAATTTTTTTAAACTATTAAATGCGTTATAATTTTATTCTTATATACAAAAAAATTTTTTAAGAGTAAAGTCAGCAGCCTAGTCAATTCAGGGTGTATATCCCTATCTAATAGTTCTGAGGTCGAATCCAGCAAGGACCATGTTTTTTATAAAGCCAACTAGATGAAGCCATCCTTGGAGAGAACAATTAAATTATTAACAGGATATTTAGTTATATTCCATCATCTGATTCTGAAAAAAAAAATAATACTACATTGTGTCCCAAGAGTATAATATCAGTTAAATCTCTGAGCTCTAATATAAAAATATAATTGATTGTAATATTTTTTATTTTATATAATATAACTAAATATCCTGTTAATAATTTAATTGTTGTATTTCATAAGCTTATTAAATTATGATTATTATAATAGATATACATAAAGCATAAATCATTAAATATTTTATATGTCAGCGCCAATGTCTTTTATATTTCAATTTCATATCATTTTTGCACGTTTTTTTAAATTTAATAATAGGATTTTACCGGAATGGTATTCCATCATGTTTGAAATACCTACCCTATGAATTTCAGGCAATTTTGCCACAAACATTTGAACTTAATATGTATTAGTTTTCCATCAATTTTTTATTTATAAATTGCAAAAGCAAGTTTCATAAACCATTCGAGAAGACATTGAGAATACAAGATAATATAAGAGCATATGAAGACTAGGGCTGTGCCGATATTAAATATCGGATCGGTACCGATATTTATTGTTTTCCTAAAATCTTGGGCCGATACCTGTAAAAAACAGATCGATTTGATCTTTTTACTTTTCTTTTCTTTGTTATTTTATTTTATGTTATATATATTTATTTTACATTATAATATTTTCTAAATAATTTTTTTAAATTTATTTCTTTTTTAAAATAGATATATAGCATTTTAGAAGTTTTTATTTATAAATAGAAAGGAATACCCAAAGTTTTATTTATTTTAAATCTTTTTAAATAACGCGAATTTTTTTATTTATACTTTAAATAAAATAATTTTTTTTAAATATGATATCTGAATTATGGAAATATTACAAAAGACTGATAATTTAGCAAAATGCGTTATCTGCGGAATCATCTGAGTCTGCCACGGCATGAGATACAGATAGTCCATATCGTAGAAGCTTATTCCCAGGAAATCTAGGAGGCTCCCATATTTATTAAAAAATCTAATATATTATAATTTTATATATTAAATATTCAATTTTACAATTCATACCAACATAAAATGGGTATATTATTAAATATATATTATTTTAATTATAGTCTTAATTTTAGAAATAAAAAAATTATATTCATTATTTTATTTTTTGCATAAAAAATATTGATTTCTTAATTACATTTAGTTCAAAGAGGGGTGACGAAAAATCAATATAAATAAAGGATCGGTATCGGATCGGGTTTGAACCAATATCGGAAAATATTGGATCCATGAAAAATATGTGGATCGGCACAGCCCTAATGAAAACCTATTAATAATCTATTCATTAATCATAATTACAAAAAATGGTATAAAGAAATAATAATTAAAACAATAAATTTTAAGTCAAAATGATAAAAATAAAAATAAAAATATGTATTAAAAAATTAATGATCGTCTCCAAAAAAATTAATAATTTTCGTAGTCTGTAATATTTTTTCCCCAATCTTTTCACTATTAAACATGTTAATACAATATATAGTCAAATCAATCACTTTTCGGCCGACCCCTTTCGATTTCGATGAAAAATCGTAGGTTGGTTATATATGTCCCAAGATTATAAACAAAATTTTAGCGCATTAGCAACTATATTAGCGGAGATATTCGGGGTTAAAGGTCTAAAAAACGTCTTTTTTTGCTTTTTACTGATGTTAAATAACTAGTTTTTAATTTTAAACTAAATATGATCAAATATTGAAAATATCAATAGCTAAGTTAATAATTGATGATTATGGCGAAAACATCAAAATTAATTTTTGATAAAATATGGGTCATCTTATGGTCAGTTGAAAACTTGAAATTAATATTTCGAAATGTATATGATCTCCGATTTTTAATTTTTTTAAGAAATATTATCCGTTTACTATTTTTTTAATAATTTCTTCAACAATTAGCATGGCTAGATATTTATTTTATTAATGTGATTTTCGATTTTCCCCTTAATAATTTTCCTGCACTCCTTTAATCCTGCTTTTTTGCTCGTATGCTAGTCGGATTTTTTAATTATTTTTAATTTACATTGAAATATTAAAAAAATTATTAAAATTTTTTATCCTGCGAATATCTCAGGGGAATAAGGTTTACAAAGTTATATAATCCAATTTTATGATATATTATACATTAAAATATTTTTAATCAATAAAAAAATGAATTTTAACATATTAAAACTATTATAAATAGCGCCATCTATTTTTTTTAAAGTATAAAAATCGCAATATTTTTTTAAATAAATATCCAGCCATGCTAATTGTTGAAGAAATTATTAAAAAAATAGTAAACGGATAATATTTCTTAAAAAAATTAAAAATCGGAGATCATATACATTTCGAAATATTAATTTCAAGTTTTCAACTGACCATAAAATGACCCATATTTTATCAAAAATTAATTTTGATGTTTTCGCCATAATCATCAATTATTAACTTAGCTATTGATATTATATTCAATATTTGATCATATTTAGTTTTAAATTAAAAACTAATTATTTGACATCAGTAAAAAGCAAAAAAAGACGTTTTTTGGACCTTTAACCCCGATTATCTCCGCTAATATAGTTGCTAATGCGCTAAAATTTTGTTTATAATCTAATGGGAACATATATAACCAGTCTACAACTTTTTATCGAAATTGAAAGGGGTCGGCCGAAAATCTTGATTTTTTTGCTCATATATATATCAGAGACCTGCAAGCCCGGCCCTAAGCCCGGCCGTATTTTAAATTTTTTAAATATACCCGGGCCGGGCCGGACCTAAAAAATTTTATCCGGGCCGGGCCTAAAAAAATTTTTTTAAATATATCCGGGCCGGGCCGGGCCGTGCCTAAGATTTTTAAACCCGGGCCGGGCCGGGCCTTAATATTTTTTATAAAAAATTTTACATTATGAGTTATTGGTTATAAGATTATATTATATTATAGTTATGATTAATATAATATTGGGTGATGGTTAACACTACCTAACACCCACAGATCGATCTAATTATTAATTTCCTGAAAGATACCGGAAAACTCCATTTTAAATTACTTAATATATTTTAATATCTAAAATTTCAGTGCTCCCAAATTGTGTTAGAAAACTTAGAAGTTAGACTTAGAACAGTATGTATAATTATTATAAATATATTTTAAATTACTTAATATATGTTATTATCTAGAATTGCAGTGCTCCACTAATCATTATCAAATTTTGTTAGAAAAGTTAGACTTAGAACAGTTGTGTTAGAAGAATAGTTTAGAAGTGGATATATCCCATAAACAGATTTAAGTAATAAAAAATTCTTTTGAATTATTCTCTTTAAATAAAAATGTACATTGATATTTTTTAGCTTCATATATTAGTTTATAAAATCTATTTCAAATTAGATTAAATCTTTTTGTAAATAATATAAAATTTTAATAACATACTTTTTCTTATAACTATAATATTCAGTTTAAATTTATTATAATAAATAAATATAATAATTTCAATCTACATTATTTAATAAATATTGATATTAGATATTTATAATCAATGTAAGATATAAATAATTAATTAATATTTATTATCATTAGAATTAGTGATACTCAATCAATCAATTTTAAGCATTCAAGAAGCTAAAGTAAAAATTAATATTAAAAATCTTATAATTCATATCTAAATTTTTAGAATATTTCCAAAACAATCAATAAAAGGAATATCATGGCACAAAACACTAAAGATATAATTGACAAAATTAAAAATAATATTTATTCTTTTAAAAATACTAATAATACTTTAAAATCTGAAATTTGGTCTAAATTTAAAATAATAATAGATAATAATAATAAAAAAAATATTGGCTATGTGCAATGCATAAATTGTTCAAATTTATTATCTTATAATTATAACCATGGTACATCACATTTAAAAAGACATAAATGTGATGGTAAATCTATGAAAATTAATAATTTTTTTTTCACACCTGAAAAACCCACTTATAAATGTAATATGAAATATTTAAAACAAAAATTTATAGATCATTCCTTAACACTTTGCGCAAAAGATATTAGACCTTTCGAAATGATAGCTGGGAATGGGTTTCTTGAATTCAGCCAGGCTCTAGTCGATGTTGGGGCAACATATGGTAAAATAGATATCAACTCATTAATTTCACATCCCACCACTCTATCACGCCACCTTAAAGAAAAATGTAATAAAATAAGAAGCATTTTGGTTGATACTATTGCCCCAGTAATCAAGAATCGATTTATGGCTGCTTCCACTGATATATGGTGCGATGACCATAAAAAGAACTCGTTTATAACAGTTAACATGCACTATATATCAGATGACTGGAAGTTAGTGAAGAGAAACCTATTTACCGCTAAATTTAAAGAAGTGTCTAAGACTAGCCAAGTAGTTAAGGATGAACTATTAAAAAATTTTCATAATTTTAGTTTTAACAATAACGATTTTATTAATATAATTTTTGTTACAGACCAAGGTAAAAATATTATAAAAGCATTGGAGTTAAATGAACGATTAAATTGTTCTTGTCATTTATTAAATACAATTTTAAGAAATTCATTTAACTCCAAATATTTGGAAAGTAATGCCTTATTAATAAAATCAACAATAGATAATATTAAAATATTAGTGGCGCATTTAAAACAAAGTAATAATGCCAGCATTTAAAAGCCCTTTATCAAGATATAGAAGTCCGCTGGAACTCTAAGTACAATATGCTCAATTCTGTTTATTCTCAAAATGAAGAAATTAAAAAAGTTCTTCTAGAACATGGGGGATCGGAAAAGTATTATATTATAGACTTTCCGATCCTTCAGGATCTAGTCAACATTCTTGAGAATTTTAACAGAGCTATTGTTGAGTTACAGTCGGACTCTTGTATTCTTTTTAAAGTGGTAATATGGTATTATGAACTTCTTGAAGTTTGTAATACCTTTCAAAGCGAAAAAAGAGAAATAAAATTGATATTACTTAATATAAAGCATTTTTTAATTGAAAAATTTGTTTTACACAAGTATCATTTTATTTCTCTTTTTCTCTGTCCCAAATTCAAACAATTACGTATGTTGTCAGGGACAGATCGCAAGATGGCGGAAAACTATATAAAAGATTATATTAAATCACAAGAGGCTCAGGAAGTAAATGAAATACCATCGACCAGTCAAATTACGACTGTTGTTAAACAAACTGAGTCGTTTTATGACAAATGGGGCGATGGTAATTCTGGTAATATCTCAATACCCGATGATGAATATTATAATTATATAAACAAAAAAACAGATGAAATATTTAAGGTGGATAATTTGTTAGAGTGGTGGGCTTCTCATCAAAGCGAATTCCCAATTTTAGCAAAATTGGCAAAACGGGTATTGGCTATTCCTGCTTCAAGTGCAAGCTGTGAGCGGAATTTTTCCACTACTGGAAGAATTCTTGAAGAAAGAAGAAGTAATCTTCAACCTGAAAAGGTAGATATGCTTCTCTTTCTTCATGATAATTTGTGAATTTTTAATATCTTTCTTGAGTATAGGGTTTCGTCAATCATGCTGGTTTTTTACTTTGCAAACTGTCAAATATTTATTGCATTTATTATATTTTACCTTGAGTCATGAAAGTTTTTTATTATTTTTTTTACAATATATTATATAATACAATTATCTTATTTTGTTAAAAATTTATATTATTAAATAAATTATATTAATTTGTGCAATTTGATTATATTTTCAAAATACTATTTATTATACATGCATTTTTTTAAATAGCGATTTATTTTTACTTTATAAATTAAATAGTAAATTAAATACAATATATTATATTGTCAAAATATTTTCCATTTTTATAAATTATATATTAGTTTTATTATTTTTAAATGCAATATAAAATATAGTATATGCTCAAAATATTATTACCATTTTTATGAATATTAGTTTTATTTTAAATGCAATATAAAATATAGTATATGCTCAAAATATCCATTTTTATAAATAACAGTTTTATAATTTTTATAAATTTAATATAATATTCTCAAAATATTAGCTTTTTACATGTATTTTTTAAATAAAAATTAAAAATCACAAATAGAACCTTTTATATTCAAAAATATTATTTGCACAAATTTTTTATAGTATCAATTTGTAATTAAATATCTGAATAAAATATGAAATATACTTATATCCGGGCCTTAAATTTTAAAATCCGGGCCGGGCCGTAAAAAATTTTTTAAAAAAATATCAGGGCCGGGCCGGGCCTTAAATTTTTTAATCCGGGCCGGGCCCTAAAAAATTTTTTTAAAAAATATCCGGGCCGGGCTTAAAAATTTTAAAACCGGGCCGGGCCGTGCAAATGGTACCTCTGCAGGTCTCTGATATATATATCACAATATATATATATTGTGATTGTGATATATATATATATATATATATGACGATTTTAATTTGTAAGATAATTATTTTGATCTGATATTATATTAAAATTGAAATGTATTATGAAAAATTACATTAATAAATTTACACAATAATTATCATTTTATATATTAGATTTATAAAATATTATATTTTATCTTGTAATAGATGTTAATTTTCTTGATAACATATCATTTTCATAAACTTTTATTGCTTCTTCATATTCCTTTATAATTTCACTTACCAGCATAATATTACTAATATGATAAATAGAGTTTTAACTTTCATATATTATCTATTTTGCCATGTTTAAACTTTAAATTTTTTAAGACAACCTAATAATGTCAAGTGAAAATATTGTAGACATAACAAGATAAAAATTTTAGCTAAATATAAATTATTTTCTTCCCCAAATATGGATATTATAGAATTCTATTTTAGAACAAAATTTTAATTTGTATTGTACTGATTTTAAAATAAAATCCAGTGAACCGACAAGCCCCTTGTGCTGACCTGGTTCCCCATATATTAAATTTTATGATTAAAGTGCTATAATACAGCTATATTATATAGTTTAATTATTTCTTATGATATTTAAAATTAAATGGAGTGTAATTTGGAAATTTCCCTTTTTTAAATCTCAGGAGTTGGAAATTAAAATTTTATATTTTTATTAATGTGTGTCACTATCAAAAATTTTTTAAATTCGAAGAGGGTCGGGAGGTATTTTCAAAAATATCAACTGGATGCGATTTTTTAAACGGCAAATATCAACCCCGATCCGATATTTAATATCGGCGAAGATCTAATTACTATCATTATGTCCTCGAACGCTCTGTTATAGCCAAAAAAATATTATCAGATAAAAATATGAATTAAATTTTAGTTGTTTAATATTTTTCTTTTCTCTATCGTTAATTTCTAATTTTGGTTTAGTAAAGTTTTTTTAAACTATTTGATTTCTACAATAACTTAAGAATGAATATATGCTTTTACCCATTTGCCGATATCTGAATTCCAGCCAATAATGCAGTGATCCAACCAAGAATGTTGCCCGATTTTGGCACCTGGCATCAATATCGTATTTTTTAATCTTACACCTTCCTCAATTCTGCAATTTTTTCCAATGACAACGTTGGGGCCTATGATACAATCATTACCTATGTCCGCAGTTTCATCCTTAAATGTAAAAAAATTAACTGGTTGATATAATTAAAATTAGTAACCTGCAGAGGTATCATTTACATAGCCCGGCCCAGAGTTTTTTTAAATTTTTTAGGCCGGCCTAGTCTGAGTTTTATATTTTTGGTCTCGGCTCGGATTTTTTTTAAAAATTTCAGCCGGTCCAGGTGATTTATTTACAATATTATATTTATTTTTAATTTTTTAGATAATAATAGCGATTTAAAATATATTTTAAAAAAAATTTGAGGTTTGGCTAGGGTATTTTAAAAAAATAAAAAACGGCCGAGCGGCTTAGGGCTGAGCCTGCAAATCTCTGATAATAAAAGTAGATATAAGATCAACGAATATGATAAAAATTTGCAAGTTTAAATATGAATTTTCATACTATTATAACGGGTGCGATGATACCGTTTTTGACATCATTAATGCCTTTGTTTTGTTTCTTAACTATAAAGTCCATGTACATGCACATTCCAGTCAAGAAATCCTTTGGTTGACCTACATCCATCCAATAACCTATATAGCATTTATTATATTTTGTTTATAGTATAAGCTAAAATTCAAAGCTGATGGGGAAAATAGGTAGAATTGAGGGTTTAATAGATCCTTTTGGGCAGTAGTTGGAATCATCATTTTTGACCATGTTCCCAGTGATATTTTTGGGGAAGAATTTAATTCATTTTATGATATATTTCAGACAAAATTTAAAAAATATCAAGCCCAAATAAGTAATTGAATACAGTAAATGAGTCCGTTAGACCTAGTGGGGAGGCCTAAAAATTTCAATAATTAAACAGATTTTATCGTATAGGAAATTTGACCGTTAATTAAAAATAGTTATCTTGAAAATAGCATATTTCCTCTATCATATCATCAAAAAAATTTAAAATTTTATTTAAATATTGATTTTCTTGAAAAGCGTGCGCTTAGGTAGAGGATTAATATTTTGGATTTTCTTGAGTGTCCAGTAATTTATAATATTTTTTTAAAAAAAGAATATAAAATAACATTTAAAAAAAACGTTTAAAAAACAACACAGCAAATAAATTTTTAAAAAGTTAAAATAGTCATACTCCTCTAGTCTGATAACGGCCAAGAATCTTTAAATAATTTAAAATTGTAATGTAAAATTTCAAAGCTGATTTCATTTTTGATCAAAAGGGCACTCGAGATTGTGTTTCAGGACCCTTTTGGCTGATTAGTTTGATTAGGGATTTAGCCTCATCAGTTTGTTGAAACCCCGATGGGTATAAATTATTAATAAAAAAAGCCTTTGTAACATGTTTAAGCAACCAGGTTCATATATAAAAACAACAAAAATTCTGAAAAAATTAAAATTTTTACTTAGCAAAATCATATTGTAATTTATAAAAAAAAAAGAGAAAATTATAAAAAATTCTTAGCTTTCAGTATTTATTCCAGAATAAGTTATGAAAATCTAGGTATTTCAGCTAATTCGCTAAAGTTTAATTTGAATAGTGAGGTAATAAATTTATGTTGTGTGTGTGTGTGGGGGGGGGGGGGGGGGGGTAAATTTTTTGGAGTAATTGAACTCAAAATGCCCGCTGAATACTTATGATCGTCATGATGAGAATCAGAAAGAAATTGCGATTTTTTTATCATATCAAGGTCACATTTAACCAACTCTTGCTTACTTAAGAGACAATAAGTAATGAAATACCTTTATAACATATCGTGCTTATGATTTAAGAACTTACGTTGGTAAATATATTTTAGATGTGTTGTTCTTATTTTAATAAATGCAATACATTCTTGGTAAAAAATTCGCATAAAGGCGTGACAAATGTTTCGCTATAATGGGTTCATGATAAAAGTTTTAAATGTATTTGCTTCGAAAATAAATTGATAATGCGTTGACGATATTGTCTTTGCCACAAATGTTTCGCGGAAAAAATTACGGAATTGATTTGGCAATATCACCTTCGCTCTAAAATTCTTTCGCGATAAATTTGCGATCAAAATTTCGCGTTAAATGCTTCCCTGAATTGACCTGATACGATAAGAAACTTAGTATATTAATTTATAGAATATAATAAAACCCTTTAAATCCAAGGCAAATAGTTGTCCTTCATCAGCCATGTAAGGAAAAACATCCTTCTCAATAGAGGTTTTGATGGGTTTAATTCGTGATAGGAAAGATGGGGATAGAATATATAGTCCCGCGTTTATTTTGTTGGAAACAAAAATCTTTGGTTTTTCTGTAAACCTTTCAACTTCACCACCCTTTTCAGCTGAATAGACAACTACACCATATTTAGAAGGTTCGTCCACTTTTGTCACCTATTAAAATGCATACATATTATTATTATAAGAATTAAACTTAACAAAATGTTATTGGTTAATAATAAATTGTAAAAATATATATATGTCGTATTGGGAAGGAATCATGTGGGATTCGGAATCCCAACGTGGGGATTCGAGATATTCGGAATCTTTTTTTTTTAATATTTTTAAAAAATATTCCGAATCCCCATGTATATTTTTTTAAAACTTTTAAATTATATTATTTTTCTTCCATTTTTTGCCGTCTGGCTGGCACCGAAAATTTCATTTTTTAAGATATTTTATTTTCTGTATTTGTAAATTTATATAAAATAAATTCATAAACATTTTCTTATGAATATATATTTTAAAATACTAATTATAAAAAATACAACTCATTTTGCAATTGCATAACAATGCAATCCCATAGTTTATGGCGTTTCAAGATGGTCCTAAACAATTTTAGCAGTTTAAATAAAAAATTAATATATTTTATGCACATCAATTAATTTGAGGACTATATGTGGTTATTATAAAAATAACTTAAATAACCTAGGATTGATATATCTTTGTTGGGAACTTAAAAGATTAGAGGCAATAAATGATGTTGAAATTCTTCCAGCAAACGTTTCTACCTATATTTTATTTTGTTTTTAATATTTTCCCTTCTAAATTTACAGATATTAATTTTATCTGTCCTATGGATAGGTAATAACCGTGATCACCTAATAAAGATATTTTGTCCAATTATTTGAGAATACCTTACCAGGTATTTTATGCTCGTTATGATAACCAAGAAAAAATATTAAGTTCAAATGAAATGGATTTAATATCATGTTCTGATAATGATATTGTTATTTATATTTATTACTTATTTTTTGTCTCCTATTCATATAGGATTATCCAACACAAGGGAGGTCAATAGTAAAAAATAATGTCATTCATTCTTATTTTATTTTTTAAATTTATATATTTTCTGAATCTAACGAACCTCAACATCTAATAATGGTATTATAGAAAATTTTAATGCATAAATTGAATAATTTTTAAAAATATCAGATATGTGTGATTGATACACCTTATCAGTTGTCAGACAACGCATCTTCCGATTCCGAGTACTTATTCGATATTTGAAATTGGTGATATATACATTGTGCTTCTAATTATTTGTTTAAATTTTATATTCTATAAAAGAGAAATATGCCTATGCGTTTGGAGGACTTGATCGATAGCAATGGTAAAAATTACTCAAATATTTGTTCATGAACAAAATAAATTAGATTTAGCTATTATTGATCATATCCTGGCAATTCTCTCCTCCTTACCGAGTTTACAGAATTAGATAAGCTATAAAAATAGTTTCATTAAATTTATTCTACAAGAAATGTTAGATATAAAAATCTAAATACTTATATTAAAGAAGAAGATCCAAATAGTAATAGTAGCGATAAACTTACCAAAGTTTATATTTCTAAAATAATTGTTTAGATTTAGAATTGGACATGTTAATACAACTCGTTCAATCAAAGAATATACCGACATGGGTAAGATATAAGAAAAACATTTCCATTGTCCAAATTTTAGATATTATTGGTAGCAGAGGTGATTTATTTGTGAATCAGAAGAGTCAAATTGTAATGGTAAAAATTATTCACTATATTTTATAAAACAAATGGCACTAGATTTAACAATTATTGAGTCTTTTGATGCTCTTTTGCCTTAAGTTAAAGAACATAAGGAAATAGATAAGATATATAAATGATATTTATCATAAAATTATTAGATATTAAAAATATTGTATTCTAATTACAATATAATCCTGTATAGGGCTGTGAAGTGATAAAATTTAAAAATATTTAAACTTTTTAATTACCAATAAATTCCTTTTAAACTATTCACAAAAATATTAAGTATGTCATAAAATAATAAAAATTAACAAATTAATACTGGGTAAGCTAGAAAAATATTAACTCCATTTTAAAAGTAAGATTTTCTAAAAATTAGGCTGAGTCGAGGGCGATCCTTTTTTATATAAAAAATCATTAAAAGCTAAATAATTTATCGATAGCGATTTTCCTTGATATTAAGAAAATCTAATTATATTTTTAACGATTAGGGAAAGAGGGGATATTATATTTACAGATAAGCCATCACTTTTTTTATTGAATACCAATGAGGAAAATTAGGTCGCTACTAAAATAGCAAAGGTTTCAAATAAAGATTCGCTCTTTCAAATTGTCCATAATATTACTAATAGTCATTGTTAAAAAAATGTTGGCTATAAAATTACATAGAAAAATAGTTGTGCTACCATTAATATTGGGAAGTATTTCTAATATTTTAATAAAGGGCCCTTTCCTTTATTTCTTATTTAAATAATCGTGGCGTCAAAACTAATTTATTCTCAAATAATTGGACAAAATAACTTTATATTAGGTGATCACATGTTATTACCAATTCATAGGACTGTTAGAACTAATATCTATCCTAAAAATTTAGAAGGAAAAGTAATAAAAATTGAACAAAATAAAAATATGGGTAGGAACGTGTGCTGGAAGAATTTCAACACTATTTATTGCCTCTATAAAACTATAAAAATAAATGATTTTTAAGTTCCCAACAAAGATATATTAATCCTAGGTAATTTAAGTTATTTTTATAATAATCACATATACTCCTCAAATTAATTGATGTATATAAAATATATTTTTTATTTAAACTACTAAAAATATTTAGGAGCATCCAGGAATGTCATAAATTATGGGAAAACATTGTTATGCAATTGTTAAATGAGCTGCAATAAATAATTTTTTATAATATAATTCGGATTTTTTAAAAATAGATATTCATATGAAAATGTTTATGATTTTATTTTAAAATTTACAAAAACAGAAAATAAAATATCTCTAAAAATGAAATTTTCTGGTGCCAACAAGACGGCAAAAAAAGGAAGAAAAAAAATGTAATTTAAAAGTTTTAAAAAAATATACATGGGGATTCGGAATATTTTTTAAAATATTTTAAAAAAATGATTCCGAATAAAACGTGAGGATTCAAGATCTCGAAACCCCACGTTGGGATTCCGAATCCCAATACGACATATATATATATAAATTTTCCTAAGGTTTATAATTTCGTTATGTCACTTTTTTCTTATTTGACCCAATTATTTTAATTGGAATAGTATTAAATGTTGACAAGTCTCTTATGGGCCATTATCAAATCAATCCTTTTAAAACCCGACCATTTCAGATTTTGTTAAAATTTGCTATATAAGATAATGAAGTGTTGTAATTGAAGAATCCAAAATATTAGCTCCTTTACTAGAACCGGAGATATAGGGACTCAAAGTGACTCTGCTTAGTCATTTTTCAAAAAAAATGATTTTTTAAAATTGGGATAACTTTAATATTAGATGTACTATAAATATCTGTCATGACTCGTTTTATAGTCATAAGTAAACTCTTACATGCATTTTGAAAATAAGTTAATTTTTAATTTATATATTTTTTTTTAAATTGCGATCAAAAATTTGTATTTGATTTTTTAAATGTCAGTATAAAAATTTTTCCCAAATTTCAGGTATTTTGTAAAAAGTGCCAGGAAATGTTCGTATAAAAATTTTCAGAGTGGCAAACAAAAGAAGTACAGAAAATGCTTAAAATAAGAATACCGCTAGATGGCGTTAATAAATTCAAATAGCCTAAAACTTCATTTTTGAAAATATAAGTCAATCTATCTTTTTTTAGAATAAAATTGCACTGCACAAAAATAAAATTTACGCTAGATAGCGTAAGTAATTTAAAATATCTAAATCGTCAGTAGATTATTTTATTTATTCGATAATATTGAATTAATTCATAGTAAAATTATTTATAGCATAGAAGCATATTGATTTCCTTAAACTTAATTTGTATATGGCCATTTCGGATTCTTCCTAGTTAAATTATAAGTTCTTCTTGTAGTGGTCATAAGGTTGACGACAGTTATAATATCATTTTTCGGAAGAATAAGAATATCAGGTATTGAAGGATAATAAAAGGAATTAGAAGGTCCATTAGGGTATAAAAATATTACCCTTATCTCATCAGCATTAATAATCGCTAGAATATAGGCCACCCACTATTCATTATCATAAAAGCATGTTACATACCATTTTATGTCATTGGTTATCTCGCCTATTCGATTTTGAATATTTTGTGGTGTGGTTTAAACTAGTGTTGTTAAACGGCTAAGCCGAGTCGACTTAGCTACGACTCGAGATTAGTTAGTCGGCTCGCTTAGTCGGCTCATTTAGTCGGCTCGCTTAGTCGGCTCGCTTAGTCGGCTTGCTTAGTCGGCTCACTTAGTCGACTCAGAGGTTAGCTTGAGTTTAATTTAAATTTAGAGCCAAAATTTATTTTTTGTTATTGAGATGTTTTAAATAATACTGTAGATTTTATTTATTTATTTTTAGTGAAATAATTTATTTTATTTATATTTAATGTTAATATTTTATTATTATCAAACCAAAAATTTTTTTTAATTTTATTTCAAATATGTTTTGATCTTATAATAAAAATGGATTTATTTATTTGATTTTTTTAAATATAAAAAAATTCATATTTTCGAGATAAAAATTTTAAGCAAAAAATAATTTTTGAAATACAAAAATATTTTTGAAACATATTTTGTTGATTTTTTTATAAATTTTTAAATCTTTTTTAAGAAATACTTGTTAATTTTATCATAAATAAATAAATACTTTTAGGTCAAATCTTCTATAGTTTTTTTATATTATTTTTATAAATATATCTATATTTTAAGTTTATTTTATTATAAGAGGTGGTTTTTCTAAATAATTTTTTTATAAATATATCTATATTTTAAAAATATATAAAAGAGCTGGTTTTTCTTTTTCTAAATAATTTTTTTTATAAATATATCTATATTTTAAGTATATTAAAAGAGGTGGTTTTTCTAAATTATTTTTTTATTAATATTTATGTCAAACTTTTTTTAATGCGACAATTGTCATA